CACACTCTCTCTCTCTCCCCACCCCCACACCCACACCCACACTTTTTCGCCATTCCACCTCACCCCCATCCACTCACTCTCCTCTCCACCCCACTCCCACCCACACACTCTCCCCTGTCCCTTCTCTTACACCTCTCCTGGCTTTCTGTTTCCGTCCTCTCTCTGTGTCTACCCCCCACCTCTCTGTGACTCCCTCCCAGAGCTGGGTGTGGGAGGAAGTGGAGACGGACGGGGGGTTGGGGAGTGAGCGATGGGCAGCCCTGTTGGTTCCACCCCACAACGGTCTCTGACCCCCCCGGCCTTCGCCGTGTTTTTCCCTGACCCCATGTTACAGGCGGAGAAGGCCTCGCTGAGGGTGAGGCAGCTGAAGAGGCAGCTGGAGGAGGCTGAGGAGGACTCGTCGAGGGCCCACACCTCGAAGAGGAAGCTGCAGCGGGAGCTGGAAGACGTGACGGAGACTGCGGAGGCCATGAACCGAGAGGTCAGCTCCTTAAAGAGCAAGCTAAGGTAAGGGACCAGACAGACAGACTGCTGCTGGAGACATGGTGTTGGTGGGGGTGGGGGTGCTGCAAGGGCCTTGTCTGATCGGCGGGACAGCGATCAAACCCTCCTTGCCTTTCCAGGTGATGGCATCTCTCTCTCTCTCTCTCTCTCTATATCTGTTTTTCTCTCACACACTCCCTCCATCCGGCCCTGCAGCAGGTTGGAACGACAACAAGCCAAGTAGGTGTCAGTGGCTCCGTCCACTGCCTGTTCATGTCTGCTTGGGCTGTGCGACTGCATGAGGCTTCACCTCCCTCTCCCTCAGCCACCTCCCTCTGCAATGTCCACACCAAGCAGCTCCACTGTGTCCCTTTCTGCACTCACTCGCGCTGTCTCTCTCTTCCGGACCCATCCCACTCGGGCGGTCTCTCTGCAATCACACTGTCTCTCTCTCTCTGTCTCCGCAATCGCGCTCTCCCTCTCTGCGATCACCCGCGCTGTCTGTCGTGCTCCCTTTCTCTGCGATCGCCTGCGCGCTCCCTCTCTCTCTCTCTCTGCGATCGCCCGCGCGCGCCCTCTCTCTCTCTCTCTGCGATCGCCCGCGCTGTGTCTCCTGCTCCCTCGCGCTCTCTCTTGCGTGTGTGCACTCTCTTGCTCGCTGTCTGTCTCGCGCACGCGCTCTCCCTTTGCCTGTTCCTCGCACTGTTTGCCCTTCTGAAGCCCCTGTGCTCCCCCGCCCTCCTGCTTGCCAGGATCTGCATGAAGCACTGCGGTGTGTTGGGAGTGTGTGGTGTGCCATTCCTTGCTGCCTTGTGTTGTTGGCGGGCTTTGTCGGGTGTGGGGGGGGTCTATCACATGCACTGCTGTATCCTCCCACCCTATCCCTCCCTCCCCTTGCTGCTGCTGGAGTACTCAGTCTGAGGGCCCCTTTTCCTTTTATCTCGTGTGGTCCAGCGAGTATGTTGCAATGTCTCTCACACCTCTCTCTCTCTCTCTCTCTCTGTGCCCCTCGCTGCCTCGTTCTCTCCCTCTCCAGGCGCGGGGCCAACCTCCCCTTCCCCAGCCGTCTCACCCGCAGGGTCCTCCAGGCCGAGGGCTCACTGGAGAACTCGGACGAAGAGTTGGAGAGCGGTGACGGGGAGACTGGGGGTAGCCAGCAGACACCGGGGCCTGAGCTGACACCGGGCCCAGAGAGCCAGGAGCAGGAGCAGATGCGGGCCGAGTGACCAGGGTGGGGAACAGGGCCTGGACTCCCTCTCCCTCCTCCCAACAACCTGCACTACCACCTCCCCACCCCCCCCGCAACCTTTTGCACGCACTCAGTAACCGGCCACAGGCTCCCAGCACTCACCGGCTGTCTGCATGGGTGAAGCACGCCACAAAGGAGCAGCCATGGCCCAGGTTACTCACAACTGGCTCTTGTTCACACACACTCTCTCTCTTTCTCACGCGTCTTCCTCCCTCTGTCATGTGATTTTTCTCTCTCTCTCTCCGTAAGACCATCAGAAATAGGAACAGGAGGCCATTCAGCCCCATGAGCCTGCTGCACCACCACCCAGTAGGACCGTAGCTGATCGGACATGCCTCACATCCGATTTCCCCCGACTGATCGAGAATCTGTCTCAGCCTTCAATACCCACCAGGACAAGGAATTCCTCCCCGTCTTGGTCTTTGAATGGCATCCCTTTATCCTGAGACAGTGCAGTCTAATCCTAGACCCTCCCATGATGGGGGAGTAACCACCCCCTCTTGAGCACTGACCCCTTCAACCTTTCTTTGTGCTCCCTGTCTCTCCCTCTTTCGGTCGTGCCTCACCTCCCCCCCCAACCCTCTCGGTCGCAACCCCCCCTCACTCTCTCGGTCACGTCCCCTTCCCCACTCTTTCGATTGCGCCCCTCTCTGTTGCGCTCCCCCTCTCAGTTGCCCCTCCCCTCTCTCTGTCGCGCTCCCCTTTGCCCCCTCGCTGTCCCGCGCCCATTGCTCTCTCTCTCTCTCTCTCCCTCCCCCAGCCCTCGCTGATGTTCCACTTCCTTCCCCTACCCCAGCTCTGTCCGTAACCCTCCAGAGCCCTACACCCGCTGACATGCACTTTATTGGGGAACGGGGGTGCAGGGGATTCTCCTGTCCCTCTCAGAGGGGCTGGAGCGGAAAGGGACTGCAGAACACTCCAGCCCCGAAGGATTAATGCCAGAGTCTCGCACAGCAAGATCCCACAAGCAGCAGTGACACACCACCTGACCCTGACCGTGCAGTGCTCTCTGACTCAACAAAGGCGCTCCTGCTCCGGGAGAGGTGGGGGTGAGGGGGAACAGTTCACCCACATGTCACACAGTGGGGGATGCATGCACATCGCAATCGCTCGTCTGGGTGGGGGGAAGCGGAGGGGAAAGGGGGTAGACACAGGGCTGTGTCAGCTCTGCATTTCCCCCGCCCCAGAATCTCTCGCCTCCACTTCACCTGCCTCCCTCCGATCGCCGCTCTCCTTCCTTTCTGCAATGAAGAGGAATTGTCTGCAACTCGTAGGCATTTTGTTTTTCTTTGGAAATGGCAATAAATTGATCAACTGAGGCCCTTGTTGTTGACCTCGTTTGTCCTGGAATATATCCATCTCCCTCCGACAGTGCGGCGCTCCTTCAGTACTGGCACTGGGAGGGAGTGTCGGCCTGGATTATGGAGCTCAAGTCCCCCCTAGAGTATATCCATCTCCCTCCGACAGTGCGGCAGGTTCAGGGGTAATCTGACCAAAGATGGTGGATTGAAATAAACTGTTAATGCTGACTGGGGATCCTATAACTAGGGGCATAGTCTGACAATTAGGGCCAGTGTGTTTGGGAGAGATGTTAGATAGCATTTCCCCAGACAGACAGACAGAGACACGCGCACACACACAGTGCTGGGAGAGGTTTGAGACTCCAGCATGCAGCAGTAGATGCTGGATCAGCTGTTAGAGAAACTTCTGAAGCATAAGACATCACGGGGATAATGGGCCAAAGGAAGGCATGACTTGATTGAGTGGTCTGTGTCAGGGTAGCAGTCTCTCTGTACGGGCACCGGGATTGTGGTTGTGGAGGGGGGGGGTGGGGAGAGAGAGAGAGAGAATGTCAGCTCGCAGCAATGGCTGAGTCGTATTCCACAGTGAGCTGTGTTGGTGAGGGCAAGCACTAGGCCCCACACACCGTAGTCAGAGGGAGGGTGGGAAAACACAGAGACGGCATTCGCTTAAAAAATAAGTATTTTACTGGTGGGATTTTGCTGTGTCAACCACCACCCGCCCCCCATCCCTCCCCCACCCCATTGCAGCCACCTGGAGAAGCGAGACCAGGAAACAGTGTGTTCCTGCCGTTTCCCAAACACGCCCAGCAACCCCCCAATTCTCTCCGCACCCTGCCCTGACCCAGCTGGCCATCCCCGCAGCATGTAGTGTAGAGGAACCCAAAAAAAAACAGAAGTTGCTAGAAAAGCTCCAGCCGGTCTGGGCAGCATCTGTGAAGGAGATAAAAACAAGAGTTAACGTTTCGGGTTCTGGTGACCCTCCCTTCCTCAGAACTCCTGAACCCAGGAGCTGAGCTTTTCCAGCAACTTTTGTGTTTTTTTGTCCCTGATTTGCAGCATCCTTTGGGTTTTTTTTTGTTTAAATGTAGTGCACAGAAATGCACCCATCTTCACTCCCCACCCACTGGCAGAGTCAGTCCCAAAGGGTGGTGGAATACAGTTAGAGGAGTCACGCCTGGAGCTAAAGCAAACAGTCCAGCTGTTTCTGAGCGTCTCCAAACGTTACTGAGCCTCTGCAAACATTACTGAGTCCCCCAAGCTGTTAGCAAATTCCCCTCCGGGAGGGGACTGTCCCTCTTCGGCCGTCAGTGAGACCCTCCTTCCCCCATTGATTCCCGGTCCGTGCCAGAGCAGCCTGCAGGCAGGAGAGGTGCGGGGAGGCTCCCGGGCTCCATGCCGGGAGCGCTGGTGAGCCAGCACGTTGTAGGCCCGGTTGAAACGGCGAGGGCAGAGCGGGCAGCTGTACGGCCTCTCGGCGGTGTGGGTGCGCTGGTGCTGCACCAGGTTGCAGGAGCGGGAGAAGGCGCGGCCGCAGACCTGGCAGGAGAAGGGCCGTGCCCCCTGCCCCCCTCCCCCGGCGTGGCAGCAGGCAGCGTGCCGCCGCAGATGGGCAGCCCTGCCGAAGGCGCTGCCGCAGACCTGGCAGGAGAAGCGGGTGCGGCCTCCTGCTCCTGCTCCCGCGGGGCGAGGGGGCGCGACTGGGCAGCGCCGGCGGTGAGCCCTCAGGTCCGACCCCTGCACGAAGCCGCGGCCGCACACCCCGCACTGGTATGGCTTGACCTCTGAGTGGCAATGCCTGTGCCGCAGGAGGCTGCATGAGGTCCGGAAGCCGCGCCGGCACTCGGTGCACCGGAACCGGCGCTCCTCATCCTCCTCCGCGTCGGGCCTCGCTGCTGTGGGATCTTCCCGTGCCATGGCTGGGGTTGTTCAGGAAGGTGATAATGACTGCAGCGCCACTTCCTGCAAAGCAGATCACAAGGAGAGAGAGAAAACAAACAAACCCAGGTGAGGCAGGTAATTCGACCAAGGCGGGCATCGCAGACAGAAATAAACCCGAGGGCTAACACCCGAACCACTGCAACAGTAACCAACCCCCCAACTGCTGCACCCATCTACACCGCTCCCCACCCACCAAGAGGGATGTGAATGAGTGGAGGGGGTCTGGGGCATGGAGAGAGAGGCACCAATTTCCAATAACTGTCGGAGGGCACAAAAAAAAAACACCCCAAAGACGCCGCGGTGGGCGTGGCCTGGCTGGAAAAGGGGGCGCGGTCGTCGGTAAAAGGGGTGGGGTGTGATCCGAGTCAACGTATAAGAGGCGGGGCCTGGTGCCCGATTAAAGGGAAGGTCGCGCTGACCGTCGGGACGGATGGTGGCCTGTTGTCCCCAGCTGGCCCCCCCCCCCCCCCCACCCCCCCCAAAGGGCGGAGAAGGCCCCGAAGCCTGAGTGGGAGTAGCGGCCAACCGTCGGGTTTTTGAACAAAAACACGAAAGACGCGTGGAACGAGGAAGAAACGAATCAGCGGAGCGCAAAGGGGGCGATGATATGACACGGCCCTTACCGGTTCGATTTTTGTTTAAGAAAAAAATGACTTTAAATTGCTGTTTTAAAATAAAACTGGTTTGTTTCGTGAGGAGAGAGAGGGATCCACGTCGACCCATCCCCCACATCTGGCCGGGCCCGGTCAGTGCGCATGCTCACAGCTCATGCCCCGGACCGAGGGCAGTTAGTGCGCATGCTCCTTATTCTTGCCCCGCCCCTCAATCCGTCAATACCCGGTGAGTGCGCATGCCCTCTTCGCCCGCCCCTCTTTTTGTGACCGGGCCCGGTTAGTGGGCATGCTCCCTGTGCTTGCCCCGCCCCTCAATCGGGCCGTGCCCCGGTTAGCGCGCATGCTCTCTCTCCCCCGCGTCCCTCCATGCAACCCCTCCGTTGGTTAGTGCGCATGCTCTCTCTCTCCTACCGCACCCCCTTATCGCGGCCGGTTGGTTTGTACGCATGCTCTTTTCACCTGCCCCACCGTGTGGCCGGGCCCGGTTGCTGCGCATGCTCTTTCAACTCAGGGGGGCATGGGTGAATAACCAAAGCCTTTTCCCCCAGAATAGGGGGGAGTCCCAAACTAGAGGGGCATAGGTTTAAGGTGAGGGGGTGGGGAAAGGGACCTGAGGGGGTAACTTTTTCACACAAAAGGTGATGCATGTGTGGAAGAAGCTGCCAGAGGAAGTGGGGGGGGGGGGGGGGGGGGGGGGGGGGGGAGGAAATGTAAAAAAGACGGAGAGGGGGGGGGGGTGGAGGATAAGGGGTTTAGAGGGATAGGGGGCCGAATGCTGGGGAAACGGGGGACCGGGTTAATTTAGGGTATGTGGGGTCAGCACGGAGGGGGACGGGCCGAAGGGCCAGTCTCCGTGCCGTACGTCTCTAAACGGGGACTGGATTAATTTAGGGTATGTGGGTCAGCACGGAGGGGGGGAACGGGCCGAAGGGCCCCGTTTCCGTAACGTCTCCAAACGGGGGAACTGGATTAATTTAGGATAATCTGGGTCGGCACGGAGGGGGGGAACGGGCCGAAGGGCCCCGTTTCCGTAACGTCTCCAAAAGGGGGACTGGATTAATTTAGGATAATCTGGGTCGGCACGGAGGGGGGGAACGGGCCGAAGGGCCCCGTTTCCGTAACGTCTCCAAAAGGGGGACTGGATTAATTTAGGATAATCTGGGTCGGCACGGAGGGGGGGAACG